GGCGTGTGCATGTGTGTGTGCGCGCGTGTATGTGTGTGCATGTGCATGCGTGCATGTGTGTGTGCGCGCATGTGTGCACGTGTGGGCGCATGTGTGTGCATGTGTGGGCGCATGTGTGTGCACGCGTGTGCATGTGCATGTGTGTGTGGTGTATGTGCATGTGTGTGCAGGTGTGTGTACACGTGTGTGTGTGCACGTGTGTGTGCATGCGTGTGTGTGCATGAGCAGCCATGTGCATAGACAGGTGTATGCATGAAGTGGGTGTGCTGGTGTTGGGGGAGGCCTGGCATGACAGGTGGGTCCGTGGTGTGTGTGCAGGGGCTGTACCTAGGGGTTGTGTGTATGCAGGAGTGCACAGCATGGGGAGTGTGTGCATCCACAGGGGCGCGCGTGTGTGGGGGTGCATGTGTGTGCAGTGTGTGCTTGCCCCTCTGTGCACCGCCAGGGAACGTGTGCAGCATGTATGCAGCACCCTGAGCACGTGCGTGGTCTGTGCGTGTGCTTTTCACGCATGCATGGGGTGCGTTGGGCACAGTGCGGGCACAGGTACCACATGTGCAGCCCTTGCACGCATGGCCCGCGGTGTGTGTGCAGCGTACCTATGCACCAGGATGGGCTCACCCTCAGGTACACACACAGGGTGTAGCTGCCTCCTGTACATGTGGGTGTATGTGCACAGGGCACGTGCTGCAGGCGCAGGTGGGGGCACAAGTGTGCACAGGGGTGTGTGGCTGTGCTGCACGTGGGTGCAGATGCTGCTCAAAGCTCTGGTCTGGCCAGGTTATCCACCACAGCTGCTGTTTCTGCTCCCCTCTCTGGGGAAGTGTTACCGAGGCTGGGGGAGGGAGTTGGGGCAGTTATGCCTTTACTACTGCGTTGTTATTTGCTTCCTATGAGGCTTCTGCCAAGATATCACCAGGATGTTCTCAGTAACCTTGTGAGAGAGTAGTGAGATACTATCAAGACACAGCTGAGGTACTTTCAGGATACTGCTGGGATACTACAAAGATGCTGTCAGGAGTTATCAGGTTGCTCTGCAGACAGTAGTAAGGCACTTTCAGGGTAGCACTAAGATACTCTGAGAATACTATGTGGGTGCCAGTGGGATGCTGCAAGAACTTTACTAGGGTACTATCAGGGCACTACCAGGATGCTATCAGAACACTACTAAGATATTTCTAGGACTGATACTGGGCTACTCTTATGAAGGTGCCACTGGAGCAGCTCACACACCATCCAGTTACTCTCAGGATATGTTTAAGTTACTTTCAGCATAGTTACATGGCAGTAAGGTAATATCTGGATATTACTTTGCACTAGCAAAACACTCATATGAAGAAAATAGCTGTTACCATTACACCACTACTAGGATCCTATCAGGACACTCCTTATATACTACTGTGATACTCTCAGGGTACTGTTAGGCTGTAACTCAGGTGCTATTGGAATGCTCCTGACATACTATCAGGATACTCGTACCTGTGCTAGTGCAATATCAGGGCAATGCTCAGCTGCTCAATGGCTGCTACTAGGATACTCTCGCTGTAGCACAAAGGGTCTGTGACGATGCTGCTGTTAGATACTCTCGCTGTAGCACAAAGGGTCTATGACGATGCTGCTGTTAGGATACTGCCTGGATACTCCAAAGATACTGCAGAGATACTTTCACAATGCTAATAAGGCACTGCTAAGGTACTACAAAGTCATTACTAGGATACTAATAAGATAGTATCAGGGTACTAGTATGATACTATCAGAATATTATCACAAAGCTACTAAGGTGCTATCAGGACAGTACTGGGTTTTCAATAGGATGCTCTTGGTTTTCAGTAGGATACAGAATATTTGTAGAATACTTCTGATAATACTACAAGGACACTAGAAAATATAGTGGTAAGATACTTCTGGCCATGCTATCAGGGCAACACTCAAACTTTTGGGATAATGTCAGCACTTTACTGATACTAATATGATACTTTCAGGCCACTGCTGAGATAGAAGCAATATAGTATAAGGATACCACTAAGATACTACCACTTCAGGAAAAAAGGTAATGTTGTGATGATATTTCCATAGTATCAGTGTAGCACTAAGCTACTTGGATCACTGTCAGAACTTTGTGGCTAGTAGTAAATTACTCCTAGAATAATGTCAGGTTATCAGCATGTTTCTATGGTTAAAGTACTAAGATCCTATTGGGATACTGCAGAGATCCTATTGGTTGTGTAGTAGTCTTGGCAGTAGGATTTCAGTCAGCATGGCAGCAGCAAAGGGAATGGGGAGCCTGGTGTTGTAATCTGTTAGTAGCCAGGTGCCTCACAGGTACTCTCTCCCCACAGCTAAGGTGGCAAACAAGCCTGGTGTTGTAATCTGTTAGTAGCCTGGTGCCTCACAGGGACCCTCTCCCCACAGCTAAGGTGGCAAACCAGTGTTGAGGATGGAGGCACCCCTGGTAAGCCTGGAGGAGGAGTTTGAGGAGGGCCCCAGGGACGATGGGGGCACCCCACAGCGCACCGCGGACCCAGCGCTGGCTGAGCTGGAGAGCTTCTCAGCCGAGATGATGAGCTTCAAGTCAATGGAGGACCTGGTGCAGGAGTTCGACGAGAAGCTCACTGTCTGCTTCCGCAACTACGATGCTGCAACTGAGGGCTTGGCTCCTGTGCGGGGCCGTCTCCAGGTGCAGGAGGAGGAGGAGCGCCTCCAGGATGAGGAGTGAGTAAGGCCCTGCTGCTCCTGGGGACATGTGCCTCCTCACACCCCTGCACAATCTGCCCCCGCCCTGTGGCATGGTCATGCAGCATGTCAAAGCAGTGGGGTAGTAACATGTGAGTAAGCCCTCTCACAGCTGGCGTGCCTCCTTGCAAGTCTCCCCTACCCAGCTCCCTGCATTGAGGCACATGCTCCATGTCAGGAATAGCACTGGAGTACCCTACGAATAAGGACTTCTTGGGGTCTGTATGCCACCTTGCATGCTAAGCGCACAAGCACCTCTGTCCCCTGCACTACTGCATAGTCATGCAGTAGCTGTATGGTATCCAATGAACAGCTTTTACAATCCTATGGGTGTGCTTGCAATGCCTCTTTGCATGGTCATGAGTTACACCTCCCTCCATGCCGACCAGCTTACCCCATTGCAGCATTGTTGTGTAGCACATCAGCATAACAGTGTAGTATCTTATGACTAACACGCCCCTGGGGGCTGTTGCACCTCCTTGCATGCTTGTAAGCTCCCACCACATAAAAATCAGTGCCTGGGCTGTGGTGTGATCATGCTAAACCTTGGAGTAGCTGTGTGGGATCCTTGGAGTAGCATCTCATGCGGAGGGACAGCAGAGTGTTCATTTCATGTTGTAGGGGGCCATGGCAGGCTCTGGCTATGTGAGGAGAGCCCCAGGGATTGAGTGCAAACCTTGTGTAAGGTGCGAGTACAGCTTAGCCACCTCCTTTTAATGTGCAAGCTCTGAACCATGCTGAGGGAGGGCCATTTTGGGGTCAGATCCCCCAGCTCCCCCCAGTATTATAAAGTTTCATTAAATCCTTGGTTGGCTGCAAAATGCCATTTTTGCCCTCAAATCCGTGAGCTTTTCCCCCACTATTGCTTTCCTAGTGGATTTTTGGTGTGTTACATTGGGGTTATTCCCCAGGCCACAATTCTACTCCTCTACCAAGCAAAGGGGTCGTTTTCAACCCAAGAAGCCCCAAAGCTGTTGATGTTGTTGTTTTTGTTGGGTTGTT